GCCGGGATCGTCTGTTTTTTTTAGGCTTTTCGGGGGGGGGGGGGGGGGCTAAGAGAAAACTGTAAGTGCAGATACATTTATAATTAGTGTTGCAGTACATATTGCTTTTTATGGAGGCCATATAGGACAGGTAATCTGTACTGGTTCCCAGGCTGTCATGTTGATTCAGTGGCTTCAATACTTTTTCTGCAACAAGTATGCAGATCAGGTGTTCTGACCATCTTGACTTCATTTGCTGCATGCTTGATCCAGGTCAATGACATAGAAAGTACAAAAGCTGAAGGCAACTATTTTTTTCCAGAAGGGGCAGTGGCAGCCTAATGACAGATTACCTTTTAAGGTTGAGTGGTATTCATGACTTTAGCACAGCTACAGTGTTTGTTACATGGTATTTGCAGGTCACTAATTGGCCTAACCTGTTGCTTGGAATTGGACTATTAATTACCGTTCTATAGCTTGTTAAGGATACATTTCCTTACATACTTTTGCAGTTGAGTAAACCGGAAGTTACAGTGTGCTGCATTTATGAAACACCTGTAATACAAATGAGAAATAGTTAATTTTCTTTTACAGCTGAATTGCAGACAAAAAAATGTTCTTAATGTTCTCAAATATATTCCTCCATAGCCGCAAAAATTGTAAAAATATTTGTGTGCATTAAATGCCTTTGTAAACCCAGTAATTACCTTGTACATGTCGTGGTGACATCACCAATGTGCTGCACATGGCCTGTGCAGAGAGCAGAGCTACGGGAGGAACCCAGCAGGCCCCACCCACTATAGACTGCGTACAGAAAACTACAGGGGGTCGGAGGCAAGACCAGTCACACTGCACAAGGAGAGGGAGAAGCAGTGACCGGTCTTTATTACAAGACGTTCCTGCATAGAAGTAAAGTTTCACACTGGATTACTACACAAATCTGGAAGAAATACACAAAGCTCCCCAAGATTCAACTAAGAATGCACAGGCCTATTGTATTTATACAACATTTGCTTATCCCACAGTGATTGAAGGAGAAAAGGGTGAATGTCCTTGCATGGCCTAGTCAGAGCCCAGACTTAAACCCCATTGAAAACCTGTGTAATTTCTTGAAGACTGCAGTCCACAAACGGTCACCATCAAATTTAACTGAACTTGAGCAGTTCTGCAAAGAAGAGTGCGCAAATATTGCAAAGTCTAGATGTGCAAAGTTAGTAGAGACATATCCCAACAGACTAAAGGCTGTAATTAAAGCAAAAGTGGGGTTCAACAAAATACTGACACAAGGGGGATCCTTTTTCCAACTCAGTGATTCTTTTTTTGAATTTTCTTTATTTGTTTCTGACACGTTGGTGTTATATCTTTCACTTGTATGTTATAAGTTGCACTGAGTAAATACAGCTGGATAAAACAAAAACTGTGCCTGTCTTCATTTCAGGTTGCAAAGCAACAAAATTTGATTATTTTAAAGGGGGGTGATTCTTTTCTATACCCACTGTATGTCCTGGTATGAGGGAGGGGCGGGATCAGGGGGTAATCATGAAACATAAAACAGAAAGATTATATTGGGTTTACACATGTATGATTAAAGGGACAGTCCTTGTTGTGGACAAGGACTACTAAATCTTAGCATGGATATTATTTTTTGCCTCCCATATATCACTTGTTTGTTGTGATGATCTTAGTTGCTTTTTGTGAATTTTGAGAACTATAACTCAGCCGTAACATCCAAATGTTGTTAAACTCTTCCAATTGGTTTAATTAGGTTGCAGCTATTTTCCCATTGTTTTATTTTGGCTGATGTTTTCGTCCTTATTACTTTTTACTTTACTGCAAGCTCTTTAGAACAAAAGGTGATTAGTTTGCTGCCAGAATGCTACGATTGGTTGCTTAATAAACCTTTTCATGGTAGTGATGGAACTTTCCAAAGTTCTTGTGCAACTCAATCTGAAGATGGTCGAAGTGAACTGGAATACCCGCAAGGAGGCACAAACTGAAGACTGAATACAAAAACAGTGTGCCCAGTGCTGCGAGAAAAATACATTATCTCATGATCTCAGTTTTATGTCTTTAACCTCTTGCCGTCCGCCCGTAGTAAAAAAATAAAACCCCCAGTGGTGAATAAATACCACCAAAAGAAAGCTCTATCTGTCCCCAAAAAAGGGTATAAAATTCATTTCAGTACAGCGCTGCATGACGGAATAAATGTCAGTCAAAGTACCGCAGCGCTGAATACTGAAAAATGGCCTGGATGGGAAGGGGGTTTAACACCGCGGATGTCAACTGGTTAAATAAGAACTCAAGGAAAACTTTTTATTAACCCCTGCATTGGTGCTACCCCCACACTGCAAGGGTTAAGTGCTTGTTTGTGTCTAAGTGCTAAAATATCAAAGTTATATTCACCTGAAGCTCTGAGCCGGCCAGCTGCCACAGTGCTCCCTCCAACCAGTCTCCTCCTCCAATTGGTATCTTCCTCAGCATCCTCACATCTATACACTGTGTATAGAATGTGATGATTTACAGGACCTTAGACCACTGCAGAGGAGGGGGAGAGAGCCTGGAAGGACCAGTCTAAGAGCAAGCCGGCTCAGAGCATCGGGTGAGTATAACTTTTTTTAACCTAGACAAAAATGAGCAGTTAATTCTTGCAGTGCAGGGGTAGCCCCACTGCAAAGGTTAATAACATTTGTTCCTGGCATTCTACTTTAATATACTGTATGTCCTAACTTACTCTTCTAGGTGCAGTTACTGTCTGTGTGCTTAAAGCTGAACTCCAAGATGAGCAAATTTTGTCCAAATATAAGAGACGTATATTCCTACTTCAGTCTCAGTATATTTTCTTGTATATTTCTTCCAGATCTGTGCAATGTGAAACTCTGCCTCTGTGTGGGAGCTTCCTGTAATAAAGAACGGTCACTGCTGCTCTCTCTCCTTCTGCAGGGCCTCTGGTCTTGTATCCACCCACTGCCGTTTTCTGTAGGCAGCCTGTAGTGGGTGGGGCTTGTTGGGTCCCTCCCACAGCTCTGCTCCCTGCACAGGCTATGTGCAGCACAGTGACAATGTCACTGCAACTTTGACAAGGTGGTATCTGGATTTTAGTACACACAAAGTGTATTCATACCCTTTGTGGCTCTTGAGGAATATATTTGAATAAAAGGTTTTGTGCCTGGACTCAGGCTTCAGGTTAACACCTTATGATTATGAAAATGACGGTCAGCATTTGATGAGTATATATTGATAAAGCATTTCTCTGCTTTAGTACTTTGATTGGGCAGTGAAGGAGCAGCAGAGTATTGACAAGATTATCCCTCTGCTTTCCTCTGAACACAAGCACATCTAAGCAGTTTGTATTGTTATGAAATCCTCAGTGAAAGCATTGCTAAAGGGATAAAGCTGACCATATGATACAATCTGATTTTACAGTCAGGTTTAACTTGATTGGATGTATTCTGAATGAATTTCTTGGTAGGCCCTCACATTGCACAATACTTAGTCTAAAGGTGCCCATACACATTACGACCATCGCAAGACTTTTGTCTTGCGATGATCGTAAGCTTATTAAAAGCTCCTACGATCTGCCCATCTTGGACAGGCAGATCATACCTGCGATCATCGAAAGCCCGATGATCGCAAGTTGACCACAGTGAGGGGCGGGCTTCCGATCACTGCAAACGGGCAGTGTGCACACCAGTTGTCGAACAAGGAGGCCATTAACCGCATGATTCTCAGCGGGTTTTCAAGCCTGCTTGTTCGACGGAAGACGTGCGACCGTACAGTAGAAACGGTCACACGCCTTCCATACACTGTACGATTATCGTACGATCGCGGGATTTCCCGCGATTCTCGTACGAGAATCGTACAGTGTATGGGCACCTTAAAGGAGACTGTAGGCAGATTGTAACTCATACTTAAATGCTTAGTGTTTTCTTTAAAAACAATTGCATATTGTATGACTTGGACCTTGGAAGCACAGCATATAAAAGGGGAAGCATCTTTAAGGGCTGATGCACATGGCAGTAAATGGCCATATAGCACACAAGCTGGCTGTATTTTCTCTGCCGGGAGTGCAGCGTACAGCCACCACCCATCAGCCTGTAAATGTTAATCGCAGGGAATGTTCGCATATGTATGCACACATACACTAATCAATCTGTGTTCAGGGAAGCACATATGGTTCAGTCCTAAGCTGGGTATACCCAGTTCTATTTTTTTTGTTCAACACAAGCGTTGATCCCCTGCTGTTTCCTTTGCATTCTGACAGCTACTGGCGGCCACTGTCAGAATTTCCAATTGGAGCTATCAGCTAATTGGCTGATAGTTCCATTCGGACCAGAATTTTTCCAACCTGCTTCTTTGATCAGCTGATCGAGGGATGCCAGACAGAAGAGTGGCACCCATGCAGTGAATTTTTGGGTGGTTCTTCAAGAACCAGACGAAATTTTAAGTGTATATAGCTTTCTTTACTGGCAGTGGCTGGTCACTGTACCTGTCACTCCCAGCAGAGAAAATAGGGCATACTGTACACTATACAAGCATTTACTGCTATGTGCATGAGCCCTAATATGGATTAGAATGACTAATGCTGGCAATATGTGAATAACAAATAAATAGAGTAGAGTTTGTAGTTAAAGGTGTTTTGTCACATAGTTACAGCAGCACATCTTTAGAAGACATCACAACTATTCTTTATACTGTAGATTAATTCCTTATTTTAATTGTAATTTTGTAGATTCATGACTGATGCAGCTCGACGAGAACAAGAAACCTTAAAGAAGAAAATCCAGCCCAAGCTCTCACTGACACTGTCAAGCTCTGTATCCCGAGGAAATGTGTCCACACCCCCACGTCATGGGAGCGGCAGCCTCACCCCACCAGTCACCCCACCCATCACTCCATCTTCATCATTCCGCAGCAGCACCCCTACAGGTAAGGGGCCTTTAGTATATTTCACATACCACATACAAAAATCAATTCCTAAAGATGCTTCCATGTGTAGATATATTACCACTTGTGTATATTTCAGAACCCCTTTTATGGGAATGCATAGTGTGCGTATTTTGAATATTTTTATCGGCAGGGATAAAATAAGATTTAAAAAAAAATCTTTGTTTTTAGTTAGGTATTATGAAATATTACAAATCACAGTAGATCTAAATCATCACTGTATGGCATTTGCACTGTGTTTTGTAAACAATTCCTATATTTTAAATAAAAATACTCCTTTTCACCCTTATTTCAACTTGAATTGAAATAAGGGTGAAATGTGGTCCAAGGATAACTACATGGCATTTCACAGGGCGGGCTTTCTGATGGAAATAGCAGTGGACCATACCTGTGTAATGTATGTTAAAATGTCATCCAGTTGGGGTTTGTGGTTTGCGTCTACTTTAAAAAGCAGTTTATACATTTAAAAAAAGCAACTAAAATAACCCAAAACCACTATTGATTATGTTTGGAGCTCACCACCTACCGCTCTCTGTAACCCTTGCCGGTAGCTGTCCGCACATCTCTATTCTGATCACTGTTCCAAAGCCGGATTGACTTCTTCCCTCCCAGGCTCAATAGTGATGTACAACTAAGATCAAAACAAATTCAGACAGTTCCACAATTTTAAAGACACTTTAACACAAATTGTAAAATACTTTTGCTTCTCATTCATTGAGGGACAAAGGAAGTCTTCAACCATTGGGTTAGACTGCCTCCCACAGAAGGGTATTGGACATTGGCAAACAAAAAACTGGAGGCCAGGAGGGTGGACATCTTTTCTACTGCTCTGCTGTATTAAGACTATTAGAATAATTAAATAAGCTGTTAAATAATTAACAGCTAAAGAGACTCTAAGGGGAATTTATCAAAATGAGAGCAAACTAAATCTAGAGCAGTTGCCCAGGGCAACCAATCAGTGTCTCTTTTCATTTTGCTCAGTTAAGATTTGAAAACGGAATAGTAGCCGATTGGTTGCCATGCACACCTGCTCCAGATTTTGTCTGCTCCAGTTTTGATAAATTCCCCTCTCTGTCTGATTCTAAGTCATTCTAGTCCTTGACTGATGAGCTTGCATCTGAGAAGTCTACTGCTATTATTCCAGAACTAAGGGAGACAATTTACTGATGCAGTGCACACTGCTTTAAAAGTATTGCACCAGCCTGTTGCTTCTACCAGTGCTGTTTACAGTCTTTGTTTAAAACTCCTAAGACTTTTCCAAATGTTTCTCTGTGGAGATTTAAAGCATTCTGATAAGCTGCTCCCCCCAAAAGTTTATTAGCCTTGTATCCATTCAGTGAGGATTTTGTGCAGAAGTGCACTATCCCCACTGTATCCTGAATTAACAGGGGATTACCATTCCAGTAGAGGATGCACTTGTCCTTAAGGACCCAACCTATAGGCGTTTGGAAGCTTTTTGTAGAGCTTTGTTCTTGCTGGTGGGCCATTCTGGCTGTTACCTTACTTTGTCAAACTGGATAAAATCCCTTAAAAGATATTTAACTGCTGCTGAAGTTGATCCCTAGCATATCAAAAGCATTTTTGGCAGAAACCTTGTGTAAAAGAGTGTTTGATTCACATGGCCTTTGAGGGACAGTTTCTCTTCAGCCCAGCTCCTGACACTATCCTCATGGATGCTACAGGTGGCAAGAGCATCCATCTTCCTGAGTAGAAGAAACCCAAGGAATAGACTGCACAGTCTTCTTCCTCCCTGTCTGTAAAAAAATGTCTCTTTAGTTTCTCCACTCCATCATCCACCACCTCAAGACCCCCCAGGCTTGGCCCCCTGTCCACCCACAAGGTCTGGCACTCAAAGTCTGCCAGATTCCCAAAGAAGTCATCCTCTGTGTTACGGTGTGCCCTCATATTCCAGAGTGAGGGTGCATTTGGTAACCTTTGTGTATGCTTCGACAGCTTGCATATTAGACAGGTGTGTACAGGAAGTTCTCTCCCAGAAGCTAAAGCTTTGCTCCATACCATCTCCTCAGTTTCATACCTCAGACCTTCTGTGTCACCATACAGATCAGCAGATCTTCTCTTGGTCTTCTGGATCATGGTGTCATTGCCCCAGTTCCTACGGCAGAAAAGTTCCAGGGTTCTTATTCCAACCTGTTTACTGTTCCCAAGCCCAATGGGGAAAATACACATACATGCAGACACACAGACACATGCACATAGGTTGAACTGGGTGGACCTTGGTCTTTATTCACCCTTGCCTACTATGTTACTATGTAATTCAGCCATTCTGGATCTCAAAGCTCTGAATGTCTTCATTTGAATCCAAAGAATCCACATGGAATTTACCAAATCTGTCAATGCGCGTCACCCGGAAGACGTTACTTAACTTACATGTCCCAGCCTTTCTAGAACATAAGCGCCTCCTTTGCTTTGTCATAGGGTCCCTATACTACAAATGTGTGGCCCTACTGCGTTCTTATGTTATCCCCATTTTGCAATACTTATATGACCTCCCTTTGAAGAAATAACCTGTGTAGGCTTTCTCGAACAAACCCAGCCATTCTAACGTTACAGCAATTCAGATGGATCCCGAACATTCCAAAATTGTTGTTAGAACTGACCCATCATTAAGAGTATTTGGATCTAGTTGTGAACACTGCTCAGGCCATAGTGTTCATTTAGGCAAAGAAATCTCAGACACTCAAGTCTCAGATTCCAACTCTCCAGTCTAGGTGCTGTGCGACACTCCACTTCTGTTTGAGATTCCTATGGCTGATGGTAGTCTATTTCAAGGCAGTCCTGTTTGCCCAGTTTCACTCTAGACCTCTACAATGCAACATTTTGTTATCAAGGGACAAGTTGATCCAGTCCCTGGACTGTTGGCTCAGGAATCCGGCTCTATTGTCGGGCAAGTCCTTTGTTCCTGTCTTTTGGAGGATCCTCACTGTGGAGACCAGCCTGTCAGGCTGGGGAGGAGTCCTGGGCACCATGTCAGTGCGGAGAACTTGTGTATCAGAAAAATACTATCTGGTGATTCACATTCTGGAACTTGGGGTGACTAGGCTGACAGCATCATTGTGGTAGAATAAATCAATCATCAAAGAGAAACCAGAAGTCATTATGCAGCAAGGGAAGTAGATTGGGTCCTCTTCTGGGCAGAACTTTACATTCCAACATTGTCAGCTGTTTACATTCTATGTGTAAACAATTGTCAAGCAGACCTCTTCAGCCAGCAGCGTCTGGACCCAGCAGAGTGGTCCCTACACCCAAACATGTTCCAGGTTCAAGAACCAAAGACCAATTTGCCATCCTGCTTCACAGTTGCTGGCTTTAACGGCATTACAGGGGGCCCCTGAGGGACAGGGCCATCTCTGAGTCTCTGATTCCTACAACACAAAAAGCTAGAAGGTTTACTTCCCGCATGGTCTATCATCGAACGTGGATGGCATACTTCACTTGGTGTAAGTCTGGGGGCTTTCGCTACAGGAATTTTTCTGTGGGATCACTTCTCTCCCGTCTTCAGCTGGGTCTGGACAAGCATCTAGTTCTCACCACTATTAAGGGTCAGCTTTCTGCCATTTCTTGTCTGTTTCAGAGACCGTTAACCTCTCACCCTCTGATTAAGACCTTTGTACAGGGGTACATATAGCTCCCCCATCCGTTCCCTTATGACTCTATGGGATCTGAATCTGGTTCTCTCTGCAATTACATAAACTGCCATTTGAGCCCACTAGAGGCATTCCTCTTTCTACTCCCAAGGTAGTGTTTCTTGTGGCCATCAACTCTGAACTGCCCATACTGTATCTAAACTGGTGACACTGTCCTGCAAGGAACTTTTTCTCGTGCTGCACAAAGACAAAGTGATATTGAGACCCAGAACTTCCTTCTGGCTCCAATTCACCAAATGGAAATTTCCCCTCATTGTCTGGATGTCATTCAACCTGTAACAGTCTATCTCTCAGCCACTGCTTCTTTCAGGAAGTATGATTTTACAATGTGTCCAAAAATCCTATTATATCTTCATAAAATTCAGCTTTAAGATTGCTTTTCTTTTTCATTTGCCAGACACAGAAAACAACATTGCTTTATGTTTTTTTATGTTACATTTTCTTCTGGCCACACTTACAGTCCCTGGCTGTGTTATAAAGAAGGCAGTAGCCACCTCCAGCTGGAATATGAGGTGGATCCACGCCTGGAAACAGATTTACGGGTGCAGGAAATGGTTTCCCTCTGGTTACCTGCGACATCACTTGGTGTAATACCCTAATAGATATAATAGCTAATTCAGAGAATGATGTACTGGGAAGTTAGCATGTCTTTCTACCACCTTGTGTCATGAGCCACTTTAATTCCGTACGTATAAAAGTCCTTCTTGAGCATGTCTTTCTTATATTATACATCTAGGCTTTTGCTATGAGGCTACTACTTCCATGCTTCCAAAGGAGGTGGATGGTTCTATATTTAATGTTTGTTAGTAGCAGTGCTTCATAAGCCAGTTTAGTCAGTGTGGATTTATTCGTACCTGACGTGCCTTCTATAAGTTGAACCACCTTGCAGTGCCCCATCCAGGTCTGCATTTGGTAGTGTGAGTGGAATAATTGAACAAGCATGGACCAGACATGCTAAGCCCCAAGGATCGGAAAGTCTTATCCCACATCTTTGCCCGGAGACACCACACTGCAGTCTCGCCTTTTCATATCTTACTATGGACGTCATAAATTCATCTTTTTGGCCTTGAAAGCATCACTCCAAGTCATACTCATTTGGGGTCCTGGCGGCTTTTTTATGCTCCAAGCACAGTATATAATGACTTTTTTATTCCAATGTAAACATTCCCTTTCCTGCAGAATGATTAAACCGTAGAAATTGTTAATCAACCATAGAAATGTTAGGTTCACCCAAAGCAATATTGTATAATGTGCATACATTTTATGACAGGACCCTCACTGAATAGTTTTATCAGTTTAAGCAGCATATAAAGAAAA